GCTTGTTTAGTTCAATCAGGTTTTACTTTGACCCGGTATGGTAGATAGTTGAAGATGGGGCATGTATGTGCGGGCAGGAGTTACCATAGGTCCATGGGTGTCACTTGCAGGTTGGAGATTCTCGCAGGAGTTCAAAGTATCTCGATAATTCAGAAAAAAAATTACTTCGAAAAACAGAAAAAAATTACTCTGTAAAACAGGAAAAGAATTACTAAGAAAAACAGAAAAAAAATATTTAAAAAAACAAACCAAAGAATAAATTACTCAGAAAAAACTGTTTTTTTTTTTCAAGTGAATGCAATACACTTCCGTAATTCTACCACTGAAATGTCCTTCATTTATCTATTAAATTACCATTAATATATTTTTATAAATGCCATAATATTTCATGCTTTTTTTTTCTTTGGCTGATTCATAATGTTTTTGTGATTAAGTTCGAGTTCAAGACCTTTATTTGTCTTTATTTGTATGGAACCCCATTTACACCAAAGTAACCGGGGAAAAAAATATTCTTAAAAAAGTTATTATAAAGAGAGACTTTCTCAAAATATTGACTTAGACACTTTCTTATTATTTTGAGATGCTAAGTCATTATTTTGAGAAAGTTTCTCGTTATTATGACTAACATTGGTAGAAATGGGCTTCCATACTGAGGGGACATTGCATTTACTGCAGTAGCAATAAAAAAATAACAACAACAACACATGGTGAGACATAAAAGGGAAAAGCCACCCATATATGACTACACATATTGCTACACATACACACATTTTTCACCACTTTCTGTTGATGGTTTTGATAACGAGTAACGATGATGTAACTTTACATTTATTGTTGTTGTTTTTTGTTATACAACCCTCTATCAATAAAAAAAACAAGCAACAAATATTTAATGTTTATTTTATTTTTTTTTCATTGCTGTACTTTTTTTGTATTTATAATTTATTGACTACACTCTCTATAAGCACTCTCTATAAGCTCCTCCGGGACATTAAAGTACGCTGCTCTGCCCATTCCAAGAAGTGGGTGTACAGTTGCAGTTATCTGCATTGACAGATTATCTGGCTGGCAGACACACCAACCACTCAATGAGCCACGTAGCTTGGTGTTTTAGATCAACCGTGACTCCAAAGCAACCTTATTACAGTTCATTAAAACTGAGCTTAAACTAGGTGTGAAAAAACATTTTAGTTAACCGAAATAAAAAATAAAAACTAGACTGAAACGTTATTGTTTACAAAACTAAATATTAAAATAACATAAACATGTACAGGAAATGTCTGTAGTTTTAGGAGAAGAGGTGGCAGACGTACACACATTCTTTACTCAAAGTAGAAAGTATAATTTTTACACATATTTTTGTAGAAATTCAAAATAAGTCAAAAATAAATACTCAAATAAAGCACAGATACCTGAAACAACTACCTGGTACAGTCATGAAGTATTTGTATGAAGTATTTGTACTTAGTTACTTCTCTGATAAGGAGGCATTGGTGCATATATTTATTGAGACTGTGAGTCAGTGTGTTCGTATTGTGATACCTATTCTGACAAATACCCCCTATATTATAATAAAAACAACTAAAACTAATAATTACTAAACAAAAACGAAACATTTTAAACTAATAAAAACTAAACTGAAATGAACTATAATAACATATTAAAGGTGCAGTAGGTAACTTTCATAAAAATATATATTTATCATATATATATATATTTCATTATATCCTGACAGTAGAACATGAGACAGATAATCTGTGATAAAATCAGCTTCCTCTGACTCCTTCTAGTGCTCCTAATGGACATTAGCAAGAATCCACCAGCCGGAACGAAAACAACCAATCAGAGCCGAGAACGATATAAAAACACTTGGAGGCTTGAAGATAGTTGATAGTAGAAGAGACAGAGGAAACTGATTTCATCACAAAACAGTTTAAATGTATTAACTTTTTTTAATTCAAGCATGAAAAAAATATTAGAGTTGAATACAAGCAACTAATTTATTGGTAAAGTAAATTAAGTTAATTGTGCTTAAAAAAGTTTGTTACACTCATATGCAGCATTTCTCCAAACTTATTTAAAATATGTGAACAAAATTGATCTAAATAAACTTAAATTCATCTTCTTTATACAAATGTTACCACTTAAACTGATTGTTTTCTTCCACTAAAGCTAATTATTACCTGTCAAAACAGTTTACGTATGAAAAAACAATTTCATTTTTATTAATTAATTATAAAAAAAGTAATTTTGGGGCTTTGGGGCTTACATTTTTGTAATGATATAAAGTCAATTTAAAGAAAATGAGTCAGTGGAACAAACTGGAATTATATCACCAATAGCCTACTTAAAATACTGCACTTTTTTGGAGGATTAAGTTATTTAAACTTCATTTATTAAGATATAAACTATTAAGATTTACAGTGTAAAACCTTATTTTTGTTGTTTTACCTGAAGAAAAAAAAACAGTTAAATATAAGGTGATGTTCTGTGTTTATTTATGCTGAGTTAGTTCTTCTCGTGTGTGTGTGTGTGTGTGTGTGTCGTACATAATCCTCTCTGTAATTTAACTAAAAGCTGTGAAACCTGAGACCACACACACTTACACACACACTTACACACACACACACACACACACAGGGTGACTGAACAAACTTTATTGTCAACACTGCCCAGAAGCAGCACTAAGAAGGCTGTCTGTGTCTCTGGTGGAGCCCCAAACATGTTGTTGGTCTCCAAGCAGCCAAATAAACAATCGCACACTGTGATGATGTCCTCATGTGGAAAATGCTGGACGAGGCAGAGATGAAGAGCACCACTCTGCTCTGCTGCACCTCAAGCATCAGCTTCTGTTTTCTGGGACTCGTAGCAGCACTTGAACCTCATCATCCTCCGTGGTTTAAACTCCTCCTGGCAAACGGTGAGTGTCTGTGGTTTCACCGTTTAATCTGGTTGGTGAGGTTGTGTGAAACTGCATTTTTGTTGTTATGGTTTCC